AMYMMCCAGACCAAGGACAGAGTTGGAAAAGATGCCTGCTATYGAGCACTATGTTTAAGAGCAACAACTCAAAACGTCCAAATTCTGATGATATTTCCACTCCGCAGATACTATTTTCATTTGAACAGATGAAAGTCTATGGTAAAATCACGTTCTATTTGTACATTATCTTTAATTTTGTCAAAAGTACTTTGCATCGTATGRTAACAGCATTCGCACATTATAATGTGATCCTCAATTTTTGTTTGACATCTCGAGGCGAATGATGTTCTTGTGCAACTTTGCTTCCACGGCCCRATTTCTTGGAGTTCTTCTCTTTTTCCTCGTCGTTTCCGAGATCTTCCTCCAACAACTCGATTCTATTTGTCTTGGCCATACTGATGTCAATAATCTTTTGCAGTTTGTMTTTGTGCTTGAGACTTTTGTAGATCTTTCTCATTACTTTGGATATCAATGGGGAATTGTTGTCAAGGTTCATGGTYTTTGTCAAACGCATGAAAAAAATTTCCCTGAGGTCCTGAGGGAAGTCGTAATCAGGTATAAAGTACAATGCTACAAGGACGCAAGAATATCCTTGTACGCTGGGATTATATCGGATATAGCGTTCGTCCAATACCAATTCTTCTGCAATCAGTTTTGCCATATCGTCAATTACTTCTTTAGTTGAGTTTCTTGTTCCTCTKGGGATCATTCGTCCAAATTGTCTCACGTAGCAGTATACAGTAGGCGGATGCAGATTCCAATCGAGAGATTTAATGATCTCCATTTCCATGATRGCAACGTCATTTTCTGTAAAACCTCCCCTCCCAAGCTTGACCAATTTGTCCAACTTGATCACCGCTGTATCGAACGTTTTCAACGCCATTTGTAAGGATGTAGCGGCCGCGAGTTGATGTTCCTCCCTCGTCTTACAAAGGCCTCTTAGAATTGCAATATCCAAGAAATACGTTGCTGCAGCAACAGAGTGTCGTTGGAGATCACAGCAGTCCACAACAAAAAACATCCAATCCASTAACATTTGTCTCCACAACGATACGAGCTCATCATTCGCAATGTCCCTGCGTTCTTTACAATTAGTATGATATACATTACTTTCCTTTTCTCGCATGCGAAAGATTATTTGTTCCATTTCGCCCAAATCGAAACCTTCCGTCAAATCCTCTAGAGGACCTTCTCTTGAAATTTTGGGCTGGACCACACATTCCGTTATACGGGCAGGACTCATCTCGGCATCACTTTTGAGATACTTACGACTCGGATCGAGCCCCATCGTGAAATGTCGAAGGCCTATGGAGCGTGTCTCTTCTGAAGCTTTCGAGCTTCGACGTTGTTGTTCGTAGTTTATTTGAATACCTTACGTAGTCTTCAATTTATGACTCAAGCTTTCTCGATGCAAATTTTCAAACGAGGTTTCTGTTTTTCAGGTCTTGACATTGTAACCGACACAGATCAAACAATACATGTGACAAGTCGAATTGGAAAAGAAAAAACACGAAAAAAAAATGAGAAAAACTTGCCAACTTCCTTTCGATATTGAAAATATCCATTGTAGTTCTTTTGTCCGTTGCAGTCTAACATTTATTGCTTCGTTTSATTCTCGCGCCAAATCAAAGGAAATACTTATGCCTTCGAGAGATAAATGTTTGAATCATTGTTCAATTTTCGCATCTCTGTTCATTTGGTACGGCTGCTGAAGTAGAGCATCGTACGTAACAAGTACGTACGTAATTTGCACACCTCACTTATTACGGGGACGCACTCCGTTTTTCCCAGATTTTTTGTTTGTATCTCACGTACTCTTCAGCCAACAATTAACGTGGTCTCCTCTTAATTGTTGACTCTGGGACCTACRAAAGTCACGGCGACTACCTMGGAATGACAAGCTACAGCAACAAGAAGCGCACGCAAACTGCAATGAAAACTAAGATAAATATCATTGATATTTTTTATCTTGAGCAATTTCAACCATCTCAAAGTGAACGGTCTACGATCCATCGCGTCAGGGTCTCATACCTAGGATTTCGATAATTTTTCGTGATACTAATGCGGGCAGACGAAGACGATGCCAAAACATGAGAGTCACAACGATCGTTCTAATTTACTTCTGCAGTATTCTTTTGCTTTTACCACTGGGTTGCTGGTACTAGCGATCTGGTTAAATCTAGCCAGACTGTGGGTACAGATCAGATAACGCTTTGTCAAGCAGGGATACAGAAGATCATTCATGAATGCACGGTTGCGTCGATATCCGTCTTATTACAGAAAGCAAAATCGCTTTTAAGTCATCATCGATTGATTGTTTACGAGAGCAATTCTTACGATTTCAGCAAGAGATGAAATGAATCACACGTTATTTAAGTCATAATAATGATAATTCTTAAATTTGCCTATTGAACACCTTAGCACAATTTGTATGCTTGTTGTGGTACCGTTTAGGTACAAAATATCTTATTGGTGCATTKGATTGCCTCAACAGGCACCCACAATCATGTCCTACGACAGAGAAAAAGCTCCACATGAAGTTGACTAGATGAATGAATCATCGATAGACAACCATTCATAGTTTAGTATCCATTGYATTGCTACATTAGACGCTTTCATCGAGATTCATTCCATTGGCTACTGGTGTAGATACATATATTTTTTGGCGAAAGTTGAACCTCGATAACGAAATTGATTTTCATGATCGTGACAATTTAGTGAACTCAGACTTGACCCGGTCGTCGTCGTAATTCAGGGGCAATCTTCGATGCCGTCCTCGCTATGTACGGTTTCAACTKCAAGCATAGTAAGCAGACAGAATGAGTTTAAATAGCAATAAAATTGTGTCAGATAAATCGTAATTTGCCATGATGCGATCATACGAACATGCGTCACTTCTTCTCATGAACCCGGAATCTCCAAAACTCTCCAATTGTTCAGTTGCCATGCGGGGGTCATTGACGTGACATCGCACGAACTTTTTGGAATTGCTATAAAATCCGAATATTAACAAAAACATGACGCAAAGAAACCTGAAAACACCAAAACTAACTCACGTTGAATCCTTCCAAATCCGGCACAATCAACTCAAGCTTCTTTTTGGGGTCCGGTATGAATTTTCCCTTGCTTGTCAACCTTCCCTCTTTTGTCGCGCCTTTCCCCTTGTAGTATCCTTTTCCTGCTCGTTTTGTAGTCAATGGCATACGTTTTCTCGCCGATTTGGAAATGTATTTTGAGATTGAACGATGCTGTTGTTGGTTCAAAATCGTCATTGATGGACTATTCATCTGTTGTTGCGTGAATGATTGCAACAGTCCTGACTGAGTTGCAGAAGAGATGCCGGCGGGCGACCCTCGATGGATACAGCGCGTGGCGAAAGTGCGAATCGCATTCATTGTATTCTAATAATTAGATGGGTCGGGAAACCTCTTTTGTGTTCTTTTTGCGRACTTGTCACGGTTATGGCGTGACTCTGCTTGTTTCAATGAATAAATTCTATTTCAAGACRCTCGGCTTGAAACTCTACACTAATTCTTCGTATTCACGTTGGGATCGAAAGGGAGAAGCGAGATAAAATCTATTCGTGCCGTTAGCGGTGTAMGAAAAGTGGGGTGTTCARGGTTACCATTGTGATGCATCGTTCTCCGTCGCTTTCTCACGACATCATCTCCTATCTCCTACCGGTTGATTTTTAGTTCTTCCTTTTTTACTTTGCATGAGCGTTGTGAGTCAATCCGTCAGTCTGTCAGTCTATCAGCCCATCAGTCGAGTGTGTCCAATTTTCGCTACCGGAAGGCACTGTAAGGTACCGTTATTTTGAGCCGGTGTTTGGGGGATATCTATTCGGGTTATGAAAAGTATTTCAATAGTTACAGGTAGCTCTACCCCAACCTGCGAGGTACTACTGTTGTCGATCTCGATCTGATTGAAATGCTGCGCTGCAGCGTCACCAAATAAATTTCCCCTATTTAATTTGAAATTCGAACTCGGAAAAATCTTGAAACAAATGCCTGCAGGTTCAATGGACCGTTAATAAAATACGATACGGTAGCTGATCGCATAGACAGAACAGAGGTCAGAGCTGCGATATGGTACGGTTCGTCAATGCAATACAAATTACAACTAATGACATACTGGACGGAGGGGAAAATCACGGATCCCGACTCACAATGCCATTGAATCGAACACGCCTCGAACAATTGTCATTTCTACTTTGGTGAAGTCAATCGATACATTTCATTTCATGATGATCGGGAGGAATGGTCGCGTTCTGTTGAAATCATGTGTTCACCGGGAGTGCGACAGGTACACTGCAATAAGATATTGCTTGCTCCTTGCAGCTGCATTTGTGTCATCTCTTTACATCTTTGTGCCACCCTCTGTGCGAAAACTTCCAAGAGATCATCCCACTCAGATAAAATTTCGATCCCTAGCCTGCCTTCTCATATGTGCCGTGGGCATGTTGAGTTATCCCTACCTCTTTTGCGACCATGACAACGACAATCAACAAGAAAACCTTGAGCTCTTTTCGATTGAAAATATNGCAACGTCATTTTCTGTAAAACCTCCCCTCCCAAGCTTGACCAATTTGTCCAACTTGATCACCGCTGTATCGAACGTTTTCAACGCCATTTGTAAGGATGTAGCGGCCGCGAGTTGATGTTCCTCCCTCGTCTTACAAAGGCCTCTTAGAATTGCAATATCCAAGAAATACGTTGCTGCAGCAACAGAGTGTCGTTGGAGATCACAGCAGTCCACAACAAAAAACATCCAATCCAGTAACATTTGTCTCCACAACGATACGAGCTCATCATTCGCAATGTCCCTGCGTTCTTTACAATTAGTATGATATACATTACTTTCCTTTTCTCGCATGCGAAAGATTATTTGTTCCATTTCGCCCAAATCGAAACCTTCTGTCAAATCCTCTAGAGGACCTTCTCTTGAAATTTTGGGCTGGACCACACATTCCGTCATACGTGCAGGACTCATCTCGGCATCACTTTTGAGATACTTACGACTCGGATCGAGCCCCATCGTGAAATGTCGAAGGCCTAGGGAGTGTGTCTCTTCTGAAGCTTTCGAGCTTCGACGTTGTTGTTCGTAGTTTATTTGAATACCTTACGTAGTCTTCAATTTATGACTCAAGCTCTCTCGATGCAAATTTTCAAACGAGGTTTCTGTTTTTCAGGTCTTCACATTGTAACCGACACAGATCAAACAATACATGTGACAAGTCGAATTTGAAAAGAAAAAACACGAAAAAAAATGAGAAAAACTTGCCAACTTCCTTTCGATATTGAAAATATCCATTGTAGTTCTTTTGTCCGTTGCAGTCTAACATTTATTGCTTCGTTTCATTCTCGCGCCAAATCAAAGGAAATACTTATGCCTTCGAGAGATAAATGTTTGAATCATTGTTCAATTTTCGCATCTCTGTTCATTTGGTACGGCTGCTGAAGTAGAGCATCGTACGTAACAAGTACGTACGTAATTTGCACACCTCACTTATTACGGGGACGCACTCCGTTTTTCCCAGATTTTTTGTTTGTATCTCACGTACTCTTCAGCCAACAATTAACGTGGTCTCCTCTTAATTGTTGACTCTGGGACCTACRAAAGTCACGGCGACTACCTMGGAATGACAAGCTACAGCAACAAGAAGCGCACGCAAACTGCAATGAAAACTAAGATAAATATCATTGATATTTTTTATCTTGAGCAATTTCAACCATCTCAAAGTGAACGGTCTACGATCCATCGCGTCAGGGTCTCATACCTAGGATTTCGATAATTTTTCGTGATACTAATGCGGGCAGACGAAGACGATGCCAAAACATGAGAGTCACAACGATCGTTCTAATTTACTTCTGCAGTATTCTTTTGCTTTTACCACTGGGTTGCTGGTACTAGCGATCTGGTTAAATCTAGCCAGACTGTGGGTACAGATCAGATAACGCTTTGTCAAGCAGGGATACAGAAGATCATTCATGAATGCACGGTTGCGTCGATATCCGTCTTATTACAGAAAGCAAAATCGCTTTTAAGTCATCATCGATTGATTGTTTACGAGAGCAATTCTTACGATTTCAGCAAGAGATGAAATGAATCACACGTTATTTAAGTCATAATAATGATAATTCTTAAATTTGCCTATTGAACACCTTAGCACAATTTGTATGCTTGTTGTGGTACCGTTTAGGTACAAAATATCTTATTGGTGCATTGGATTGCCTCAACAGGCACCCACAATCATGTCCTACGACAGAGAAAAAGCTCCACATGAAGTTGACTAGATGAATGAATCATCGATAGACAACCATTCATAGTTTAGTATCCATTGYATTGCTACATTAGACGCTTTCATCGAGATTCATTCCATTGGCTACTGGTGTAGATACATATATTTTTTGGCGAAAGTTGAACCTCGATAACGAAATTGATTTTCATGATCGTGACAATTTAGTGAACTCAGACTTGACCCGGTCGTCGTCGTAATTCAGGGGCAATCTTCGATGCCGTCCTCGCTATGTACGGTTTCAACTGCAAGCATAGTAAGCAGACAGAATGAGTTTAAATAGCAATAAAATTGTGTCAGATAAATCGTAATTTGCCATGATGCGATCATACGAACATGCGTCACTTCTTCTCATGAACCCGGAATCTCCAAAACTCTCCAATTGTTCAGTTGCCATGCGGGGGTCATTGACGTGACATCGCACGAACTTTTTGGAATTGCTATAAAATCCGAATATTAACAAAAACATGACGCAAAGAAACCTGAAAACACCAAAACTAACTCACGTTGAATCCTTCCAAATCCGGCACAATCAACTCAAGCTTCTTTTTGGGGTCCGGTATGAATTTTCCCTTGCTTGTCAACCTTCCCTCTTTTGTCGCGCCTTTCCCCTTGTAGTATCCTTTTCCTGCTCGTTTTGTAGTCAATGGCATACGTTTTCTCGCCGATTTGGAAATGTATTTTGAGATTGAACGATGCTGTTGTTGGTTCAAAATCGTCATTGATGGACTATTCATCTGTTGTTGCGTGAATGATTGCAACAGTCCTGACTGAGTTGCAGAAGAGATGCCGGCGGGCGACCCTCGATGGATACAGCGCGTGGCGAAAGTGCGAATCGCATTCATTGTATTCTAATAATTAGATGGGTCGGGAAACCTCTTTTGTGTTCTTTTTGCGRACTTGTCACGGTTATGGCGTGACTCTGCTTGTTTCAATGAATAAATTCTATTTCAAGACRCTCGGCTTGAAACTCTACACTAATTCTTCGTATTCACGTTGGGATCGAAAGGGAGAAGCGAGATAAAATCTATTCGTGCCGTTAGCGGTGTAMGAAAAGTGGGGTGTTCARGGTTACCATTGTGATGCATCGTTCTCCGTCGCTTTCTCACGACATCATCTCCTATCTCCTACCGGTTGATTTTTAGTTCTTCCTTTTTTACTTTGCATGAGCGTTGTGAGTCAATCCGTCAGTCTGTCAGTCTATCAGCCCATCAGTCGAGTGTGTCCAATTTTCGCTACCGGAAGGCACTGTAAGGTACCGTTATTTTGAGCCGGTGTTTGGGGGATATCTATTCGGGTTATGAAAAGTATTTCAATAGTTACAGGTAGCTCTACCCCAACCTGCGAGGTACTACTGTTGTCGATCTCGATCTGATTGAAATGCTGCGCTGCAGCGTCACCAAATAAATTTCCCCTATTTAATTTGAAATTCGAACTCGGAAAAATCTTGAAACAAATGCCTGCAGGTTCAATGGACCGTTAATAAAATACGATACGGTAGCTGATCGCATAGACAGAACAGAGGTCAGAGCCGCGATAGGGTACTACGGTTCGTCAATGCAATACAAATTACAACTAATGACATACTGGACGGAGGGGAAAATCACGGATCCCGACTCACAATGCCATTGAATCGAACACGCCTCGAACAATTGTCATTTCTACTTTGGTGAAGTCAATCGATACATTTCATTTCATGATGATCGGGAGGAATGGTCGCGTTCTGTTGAAATCATGTGTTCACCGGGAGTGCGACAGGTACACTGCAATAAGATATTGCTTGCTCCTTGCAGCTGCATTTGTGTCATCTCTTTACATCTTTGTGCCACCCTCTGTGCGAAAACTTCCAAGAGATCATCCCACTCAGATAAAATTTCGATCCCTAGCCTGCCTTCTCATATGTGCCGTGGGCATGTTGAGTTATCCCTACCTCTTTTGCGACCATGACAACGACAATCAACAAGAAAACCTTGAGCTCTTTTCGATTGAAAATATAATGYTTTCCACCTCTCGAARACACGGAGTATTCCGTGGCATATTTGGAATTTTAGCGCATACATGCATATTATATACTGGTTCTTCTTTTGCTGGACTGTTATACTTCTATGAAATTCGAAAGCAATACATCCGGCAGGGAAATCAMCAAASTGTGCTAGAAATGATTCGATGCATACTCTCTGAGAAATTATYGAAGAACAACACCAGGGATATTTGGATAGTTGTACGAAACTATTGCATTGCTCCCCTAACCGAAGAGATTGTATTCCGGGGCTGCATGGTTCCAGCTCTGCTTGCTACGGGAATGTCCATAGGTAGGGTATCACTGGTAGCTCCTCTCTTTTTTGGGCTCGCTCATTTGCATCACGCGGCGACACGTCTATCGAATGGAGAGCAACTACGAATGGTGATGCTCGCCACAACCTTTCAGTTTCTTTATACGTCTCTTTTTGGTAGCTATGCATCCTATGGTTTCATTCGATCCGGTTCCATTCTCCCGGTGGTTTTGAGTCATTCCTACTGCAATTGGATGGGATTACCAAATCCTGGGTTTGCAATCAACGCCTACCATCCCCTTCATCGATTTCGGATGTTCATTTTGTTCGCATATTTCATCGGAATAGTCACCTTTTGGTACACCTTTCACATAGATCTTTTCCTACCGCTTCCGGCAGAACTTCCTCGGTTTGTACGGTCAAACCATGARTAAACGTACTGGCAAAATCTAGTCTGACATTGAATCTGACGGATGGAAAGCGTTTGCCTGAGTTCAWTKCTATTCCTAGTACGATACCATTATCAATAATAATAATGCCATCACTACTACCAACATAGCTAAAGAATAGTAGTAGTAGACGTAAAACTTCTTCAGTACGTAGCACATAACACCTTCCACGTGTAAAAAAGAATGCTAATCATAGTGAAATAGCTGAAAGTTCGTACTGTTGTTGGTACGAATGAGGCTACTCGTACCTTACGCTCTCTACYGGTMGCTACGAGTAGAAACACCAGTAGACTAGCTAGCAGGTCGAACGATAAAGTGGACTTTCGTACTACTTCAGTCTACGTAAAAGCAACAGACGCCTTCCGATCTTTTTTGCCATCAAAATCATTTTTAAAAAATAAAACCGCAAAAACTGTTAGCGACCTTCACCGAAACAGAACGGAAAGAACATACCTATTACGTTCCTTACCGATTGCTGTCCCATCAATTTTTACCCACATTGCTTCTCCAAATTCAGCATCGACACTTTTTCACCAACCTGCAACGAGTACCACCAAGATGGTTTCAACAAGTTGCTATCACCYAATCATTGCATCTTTATGCATTGCTTCGTACATTGCGTTTTGCTCGGCGTTCCGAGCCAACGGTGGATGTGCGAGAGGGATGCCATCCCGAGTTGGCATTTCCCATCRTTCGGCACAGAGTTTGGTTGTCGAGAGCGGTAGKACAGCGACAGCGACATCGACGCAGCTGTACATGGGGGCTGGCGAATACAAGAAGAAAAATCTAAAAACATTCCAGCGGTACCTCGAAATCGAATGCTGGAGGCAACCGCAGTTTCGAGACCTCGAGCCCGTTTTGAAGTCGGTGGCCGAATCCTGCAAACAAATCAATCGGATAGTTCAGAGAGCGCAGACGGACGATCTGTACGGTGTCGCCCTGGGCCCGGACGGCAAGCCCCTCGACGACAACATCCAGGGCGAAGTCCAGCAACAACTCGACGTCTTGTGCAACACCTACATGCTTCGTGCCTTTTGTGGCGGTGGATCGTCCAGCATTCATTCCGTGGCGTCGGAAGAGGAGGACGAAACAAGGTGTTGCTCGGACGTGATGACCGATTCCGCCTTTGCCAAGGGGGAGTACATCGCCGTCTTTGATCCCATCGATGGCTCGAAAAACATCGACGCCAGCCTGCCCGTTGGGAGCATCTTTGGAATCTACAAAAACCAACCCGGGTCGGAAGTCGACGAATCGACCTTTCTGCAGGACGGAAGAAACCTGGTGRCGGCCGGGTATTGCCTCTTTTCGGCCACCACCGTCCTGGTGTTGACGCACGGAAACGGGGTCGACGGATTCACGCTCGATCCAGACAGCGGTGCCTTCCTCCACACCCTGAAAGACATCCGCATTCCCCGAAAGGGCAAAATCTTTAGTTTCAACGAGGCCAACTCCCGCGGGTTCGACGAACCCGTCCAGCGCTATCTGAATTCCCTGAAGGAGGGGACGAGCAAGGTCGACATGGCGATGACGGCGCGGTACATCGGTGCCCTGGTCGCCGACGTCCACAACATCCTGGTCAACGGCGGCATCTACGGATACCCCAGCACGAGGTCGAACCCGGACGGGAAGCTGCGGCTCCTGTACGAGTGCGCCCCGATGGCCATGATCATCGAGCAAGCGGGYGGCGCGGCCTCGAACGGCCGCAAGCGAATACTGGAAATCAAGCCGAAGGAAATCCATGCCAGGAGCCCGCTCTTTATTGGGAGCGTCGAGAACGTGTTCGAACTGGATCAGTTTTACGAGTATTACGATACGGACGGTGCTACGGAAGCAAAAGGAAGCAAGTAAATAAATAAATACATACATAAATAAATAACCAATAATCATAGACGAAGAATTTGGAACATACTACTATACTTGGAACATACTGCTATACTACTTTTACGGAACAGTGTTGAGCGATCCCCATCGTTGCAACTCAAATTATTTTCAAACCAACCATGGAGGCAGGCACAATTGGCAGGGCATCGCGGCACGGCACGGCACGGCAGCATATGCACCGTGAAGAATATTGCTATTCTTGCCGTTGCTGTTGTCGTGCACCGCATTGCGACGAAGCCAGCTCGTTGTTTTGGCATTGCCATGCAGTGCAGTGCAGTGCAGCACCGCACCGCACCGACGTGGCTCGGTTGCCCGCCCTKTTTCGTTTTGCCGTGCCGCGGATTCGTGGGTGTTTCSTGCTGTGCTGTGCTGTGCTCTGCAGTACAATGTCGTGCCGTTCYSCGCAATGCCCGTGGCGCCTCGCTGCGCTGTGCTACTACGGGCACCACMCCGCGCAGGACTGCTGCCGCTGCACCCTCCTCCGGGTGCGGGTGCTGGCCCACGGGTCTTCCCAGGCCCGGACCTCCCCCCACAGCGCCCCCATGGCCTCCGCGAGAAGGGGGTCGTGKTGGAAGAGCTGACCGCGGGTAAACGGATAAAACTTGTTGCAGTGGGAAATGGTGGAACAGTTGTGCCTGAGGGCGTCCTCCCGAAAGACCGGATCGATCATTCGCCGCAGCCGCGAATCGTCGTTTTCGTCGTGGTGGTTGCGGTGGCCGATGGCCAGAGCGGCCGCTCCCCGTTCGATCGCCTCACCGATGGTTCTCGCCAACCGGTGTACGAACGGCGGGAAGGGTGTCCAGCAGCAATCGTCGTGCACGCGGCAGCAACGAAGGTGCCTCTTGGGTGGGTCTTCTTCGGTGTCGCGGTCCTCGCCGTCGTCGTCGGCCTCCAGGAGTTTGTACTCGTGTTCGATCGAGTGGTAGAAGAGGACGACGGCGGCGGTTTCCCTCTCGTCTGCACCGGTGCGCTCGCGCTGCCGCTCGCGCTTCCGGCGGCGTTCTTCCGCCGCCAGGACCCGGACCCGGTCCGTGACCTCTGGGTGCAGGAGTGGCGGGCTGCAGGCTTCCATGGCGCCCGGATCGCCCTTGTCCAGCGCGCGGTATCCCTTGGCCCAAAAGGCGACCGACATCTCGGCAAAGAACTCTTTTTTGTCCACCATGGCATACGCCAGGTCGAAGTCTCTCGGGGTGGTCTCCGGTGGTTGGGACGGAACGGCGTGGCCGACGCCCGGGGTTTTGGCGGCTTCCACCGCGGCCACCTTCCCCGCCCAGTCCCGTCGGAGCACCGCTTCGTACCTTCCTGAGTCGCTCGCTGCCTCGTAAAGGTCTTCCACCGTGCGGTTGTCCAGGCCGTCCTCGAGGCAGCACTGGTGGACGAGGTGGCAGAACTCGTGGAGGAGCAACCCGCTCCCGTTCCAGTGCAGGCGCATCCTCGCRTAGTCGAGGCAGGAATAGATTTCGATTCCACCCGCCTTGCGTGGCGCGTCGTTGGCGACTTCCACCAGCCAGGCCGGGTGGTGGTGGGTCGTGATGTGCCGCAGCACGGTGGGGTGGGCGGGCGGGCCGTAGGCGTACCCGTTCCAGTTCAGCCAGAGGTTGGTCCGGCGGACGAGGGAGTGGACGGACGCCGGGAGGATCCGCAGGATTCCCGCCAGATCGGCCTGGACGCTCCGGAGGACCATGGGGCAGTGCCTGAGCACGTCGGGGCTGCAGTACGCGGTGGGGCCACAGGCCAGCCGAACGGGGATGTATTCCAGCCCGCGGTTGTCGATCTTGTTCGGGTCGGAGCCATTGCTTTCGGGGTTGCTGCCGTTGCCGCAGTGGTACCAGAGGGATCCCGCGTGCTGCGGAGGATGGGACCGGTAGTGGTGGTGGTAGTGGTGATCCGTGGCGATCGGCCTCGGGGTTGGGTTCGATTGCGCGTGGCCCAGGATCTCGCTGTCGCTTTCGCTCTGGGTGCTGCCCCCGTAGGATTCTCCGTCGGGGACGGCGGTGGCGGTGCCGTCTTCTCCGGAATTCTCCGACGTGGTTTCGTGGCGATCGATCCTGGAAGKCTTTGCCATCGGGATCGTCCCGAAATCTACCGTATCGCTGGCATACACGATCGAAACATCGTTCGCATCGTTGCCCATTGTGTCGATTTGTGTTTTGTGAAACAATACAGTACCAATCGATGGCGAACAGAACTACCGTAAACGTTTGCGAGGCTCGATTGTATTTATACTACGCTGTGCTATGCAATGGCGAAGAACCCRATCTTTCGTGCGGCACGAGTGGGTGCGGATACGCTTTCTCGAAAAGACGGTTTTTGCTCGGAACGTCCAATGAATGCATGAATGAATGAATCAGTGAATCATCTCGTTTGGTTTGGGAAAGAAAAAAAAAACAATTGGATACCTCGAGAGGAAAAAAGGAAAAAAGCCAAACAACAAACAAGCAAGCTGTTTTTTTTTGCCTTCAAAATTCCGTTGGAATCGAAATTGAACTTTTCAACCTTTTTTTCATAACGGCACTTGCGGTGAGATTCCGCGCGATCCTGTCTAGTTACAAAACCCTACCTTGCGTTGATTACGTTGATCGCTAGATGTCAAGAAGCCTCGACCAATCAAAAACTACCGCGCCGAGGCACAGATGCAAAAATTATGATACAGCAGAGWACGGKAAGGCACTGYATTGTAACCCTAACCCAGAAGGTGATCACCAATCAATCACTCACCAGAGAAAAAAATCGAGTTTTGGTCTTTTTTCGGTTGCCGGAAACCATTCCGATGAARAACGACAAGCACAACACAACGATGGGTGCGAACACGGTACGACGGAGTGCAGCCACCGATCGCGCTATCAGCAGCCACCACTCCGGATAGCTCGTTGCCCTGMATTGGATTGAATCGCATCGCRTCGCATTTCTTTGCATTTCGAATCGCATCGCACCCCGACCCAAACAACCACCTCCATGGCCGGGCGGAAGGGCAAGCAGAAAAAATCCGCGGGGGCGGGCTCTCGGTCTTCCGGTGCCGGTGCTCCGGGTTCGACAGCTCTTCCCGTTCCGGCCGGGAAGGGGATGATCCTCGTCGATCCGGCCCGGTGCCGGTTCCAGCACTCGCGCATCCGTCCCTACTTCTCGGGCTGCGGGAGGAGCGTCYACGAGACCCTCGAAAGCATCAAGAGCGGCGCCACGAGGCTCTCCGACCTCCCGCCCATCCAGGTCATGGTCGGCGGAAGTGGCAGCAGCAGCAGC